GGACTGGAGAGGGAGGGGGAGAGGGGTGGGGGGAGGGGGAGAAGGGTGGGAGGAGGGGGAGAGAAATGGGAGGCTGGGAGGAGGCGGAAACTTTTTTTTCCTTTTCTCAATAAAAAAAAAAGAAAAAAAATAAATCCTAAGCCAACTCCTGAAGAGACCAAACGGTGGTGAATATAGACTACTAACTACTTCAACATGGGAAAGATTTGAAATGGTTTTAGATCGTTGTGTTTCTGCCTCATTGTCACGCCACTTCTCTAAGTCAGATCACTCTCTATCAAATATGTGTGTGTGTGTGTGTGTGTGTGTGTGTATTCTTTTAGGTATATGAGTATTTTGTCTGCATGCATGTATCTTAACCACGGAGCCATCGCTCGAGCCCCCATTTTACTATTTCTAAGTTCATGCTGCTATTTCCAAAAATAAAGAGATAAAAAGATTGAGTACTTGGGTAAATGTTTTCAAAGACTTCTGGCTGAGATGTAGAAAACAGCTGCACTATAAATGGTTGCTCTGAAGTTCCGTCAGTAAGGTGGATCCAGCGATATGACCAAAAGTCTTCAGTATTTTCTATGTGGAAAGAAGAGTAAAATAAATGAAGGTCACTGCACGCATATGAACACAAGACTCTTCATATTGAAACAGTCACTAACACTTTCAAATTTAAAGGCTCATCACCTTTCTTTTTTGTCCGTTGCACCCTTCCCACAAAAGTTAACATGCCAACAACATCACAGATTGCTTTTTCTGGCACAGTGTCTAGTTCTGATCTGAAAAGAAAATTTAGATAGATGTTATATCTTTAAACAGTGACAAATCATTCTTCAGTAATAACTATGAAAGTACCTATCTAAATAATTGATTAGGCATAATTTGGGGTGGATTTTGAATAAGATATAATTCATTACATTCTGGTTACTAACATTTTAAAGATTAAGAGACTATTATGAGGAACTATTTTACCTTGTAACAAATCGGTTACATAGTTTTGGCAATTTCCATTCTGATTTCAATTGCCTTTCTGGAATGATAACCACTTTAGTTGGAGGATCTCGAAAATTCAGGCAGATTTCTGAAAAAAAAAACCATATATATTACTTTAATATACTATTTTCCATATTAAGGAATATGTGTATGCATAAATTACAAAGCAAAACCATCCACTGAACAATTTTTAAATTTTTGTTTGAGACAGAGTTTCATTGTGTATTCCTGACTGTTCTGAAACTCACTATGTAGACCAGGCTGGCATTGAACTCATAGAGATCCAGCTGTCTCTGCCTCCCAAGTGCTGGGACTAAAGGTGTGCACCACATCCAGTTTAAACTGAACATGTTTATGCTCTCCATTAAACTCAAGGTACAGACCAATATCAGTGATCTGCCACCTGCTTCTAAAACTGACCTCCCGCCACAAAAATGTGCACCATATATTTTGCTTTGTGTATAAGTGTTTTCATAATGTTAAAATATTTTATTTTATATGTGGTCTTGTCCAAATGATATTTGGTTTTCGTTTTGAACATTATTGGAATGGAATCCTTTTATGCACAGACTTCTAGGACGACCTTTTCCATGCCACATAATACTGCTAAAATTTATCCCATACTGGCTGAGTAGAGTACTTTAAAATTTTCTCTTTTAAAATATTTTATTATTTTGTCACTTATTTCATATTTTTGAAAAATGTTTTTTGAGAACTTCATGGACTATGTTTCCATCCCATTCTCCTCCTTCCACTCCTCTCATGCTCCCCTCTCAAATTCCTGACCTCGTCTTTTTTAATTGTTACATATATACTTGTGTGTGCATAATACATACACAAATATATGTGTGCATATGTGTGTGAATGTGTAACTTGCTGAATCTATTTTGTGCTGCACATATGTATATGTGTTTAAGGCTGACCACTTACTTTGGAAACCTATCGTGGGTCTTTTCCCTTTTTCTGCAGCCATGATTTGCCTACAATCTTCATCTAAGAGATTTTCCCCATCCATCTTGGCATGTCAATGGGTGTTATCAATGTGAAGCTCTTATTTAGGTGACCATATTACTAAATAATATCCATTACTAAATAATATCCAGATATGATAAACTAGTACAATTCAGATGCCTATTATTGAGTTGCTGTATATATGAATTATCTCCATATTTTGAAATTTGTAGAAGAGTTGTTGCAAATGTTATTATATGTATTCCTATGTACACAGGTAAGGGTTTTTCTAAGGTAGTACAGGAAACCCTGAATTATACTATATATAAACATTTGACTACATGGGACATATTTCTTACAGCTCTGAAAAACTATGATTCTTAACCAACTACACTTCTTTCAACTGGAAACACTCAGAACAATCATTTTACTCTATATTATGCAATGTGGTCTAGAAATCTCAAGATCTCAAAAGTGTTTATTATTTCATGAATATAACTTTTGAAAAAGAGGGCAGAAAGAGAATAGAAATATATAAAGCTACATATTACCAGTGGGAAATATATCCTTAGTGTTACAAGAGATGTTTCATCATTATAAACTTACTTGGTCTTCTAAAATGATTATATAGTTTTTCTTTAACTTGAACCTTATACATAAATATCAAAAGAACCAAGAAAAATAATCACAATAGTTTGTCTAACAACATAAAACACATAAACGGCAGTGACAGTAGCAGCAGTCTCTAATCCCTTTACTAATCATCCCTCCCTGACTATATAAGCCACCCTATTTATTCTGCTCATAATACTTAGCTGCCCTGCTATTTTCCTAACCCTTTTTACACTTTCTCCTTTCTTCCTAATTAGTCCACTGTCTTGCCCTTTCTTTCCTCAACTAACCACATTTCTATCCATAACCTCTCCTTTTACCTATCACAATTTCTTGTTATAGCCGTTAAAATTTTCATTTTACTGCTTTTTGCTATTTTGCCTATCTGTCATCCATTGGACTAATGCTTCAATGGTAGACTATTAATCTATTATTTACCATTGTTTCTCCTGTCTGTAGCATGGTGGCATAACTGTCTTTGTTCCCTTCATTAAATAGTGTACGATATGTTCTCTTAAAGATCATAGGTATACAGTTCTCAACTCAGCTTAATATTAGAATCAATTGAGGAGTTTTAAAGATATGGAGATGCCTTAGTCTCGCCAGATTAATTAAAACAGTATCTCTGGTAGGGGAACAGTTCCAGTGGTTTTTTAAAAAGCTCTCTAACTAACTCTAATATACAGCCAGAGCTGAGAAATATTAAACATACGGCCGAGAGAAACTGTAACTTGCAGTTAGCTGCTCATTTCTATAAACTAGCATTTTACAGGAACACAGTAATAATCATTTGTTTGCACATTAACTATGGCTGCCTCCCCTTTCCACGGGCAAAGCCAAGTGGCTACAGTGTAAACCCTATGGCTAGCTGAGACTAAATTACTTATTTTCCAGAATTTTGCATCAAGAATTTATTGATCTCTGTAGAGAAAAAAAAAATAAAAAGTCTACTACTAATCAGAATTATATGGGAAATAGAGACAGCTACTGCATTAATAAGCAGCAAAACTGTTTTTAAAGTCCAAAGGACATATTTAAAATACATTACCTTCAAAGGTCACTGTCACTTTAAAATAATTACGTATGTGCATTTACATATTGGAAGGCAAATCTTACACTTTTAAGAACAGTTTTCCATCATGAAATGTGGGCTTATGGTTGTGTTCTGTTTCAGGGTTAACTTGTTTTTACAGTGGGTGCTTATTTACTGACCTAGTTTTCATGTGGTTTCAAGGCTCAGAAGCAACCAATAGAATTAGAGGTATCCACAGACATGTAAGAAGTCTCCAGGCCTAGGCTACCTCACTCAACGTATTTTCTTTTGCCTCACCATTTTATTTCTTTTAATTTTTAAAATTTATTCTTCTCTCACACCATACATCCTGACCACAGTTTCCCCTCCCTCCACTCCTCCCAGTCTCCTTCCACCTCCTTTTTCCTCCAGATCTACTCCTCCTGTCTCCCTTCAGAAAAGAGCAGGCCTCCCAGGGATAGCCAACCAACATGGCCTAAGAAGCTACAATAATACTAGGCACAACCGCTCATATCAAGGCTGGAGGAGGCAACCCAGTAGGAGGAAACGGGTCCAAAACACAGGCAAAAGAGTCAGAGACACCAGCCACTGTCACTGTTAGAACTCTCACAAGAATATGAAGCTACACAACCATAACACACATGCAGACGACTTAGCGGAGGCCCATGCAGGCTCTGTGATTGTTGCTTCAGTCTCTGTAAGCCCCTAGGAGTGCTGTTAGCTGAAATTGTGGGCCATATTCTCTGGAATATTTTCAACTGCTCCTGCTCTCTTATTTGTGGATCATAGCTCTGAATCCTTAAATTTGAGTACAGAAAAAGAAGTTAGGACAGAAGCCAGGAAACTAAGAAGGGAATATAGTGGGGGCTGTGGATGAGAAGGAGCTCTGGAGACAGGGATAGTAGGGCACAGGGCTCTGAATGGGGAGGAATGGGAAAATAGGGCCGGCACTTAACTGTTAAAATAGAGGAGAGAGGAAGGAAGGAGAGGTAAATAGCACTAAAGATGTTTGGAAACGTCATAAGGAAACAATTTTATGAGCTTACTTGAAAGATGTATACTATATTATTGTACACACATACACACAAATACACACACACACACACACACACACACTACCACCACGACCATGACGACAACTACCATTACCACCAAACTAAAAACAGAAAACAAAACCCACATGGTGCCAGGCCAAGGAAGCCTCCATTTGAGATTTTGGCCAGGAAATTCCAATGTAATTTCTAACTGCATTCTAAACAGTTACCTATATACCTACAGATAGTTGCAGCATTCACCTTTCCTTGTGAAACTGATAAAGACTATTCAAGTATCCACAACTGGTCACAATGATAAGGAATAGTAGATGCCTAGTTCCAATAGACTGTATCCACAACACAACTCATGCACCTAGGGTTCAGTGAGAAGTGAGGAAGAAGGGGCAGGCAAAATGTAAGAGCCAGAGAACCAGGAGGCCTACTGCTAATAGTATCTTCTAGACACGAGGGAGAAGCTCGACATATCAGCTCTCAATAACATGGTTGCCCAAAGGGGGCATGCATCACAATACCTGAAGCATGATTAATAAAAACTCAGAGATAGATATTGGGGTTCAACCTGAAGACCAGAAAAGCAAAGTAAAGCAGCTAGCCACTGGCTCTTACCACTACCTCAGTCTGAAAATGGTGATCCTGCCTCCAGGAAGCTCAGAATGACACTGTGTCTGTCAGCTGTCTCCTCCTGTTTTATAATCCTTTCTAGGGCTGGGATTAAAGGCGTGCACTGTCCGGTTTCTAAGGCAACTAGTGTGGCTACTGGGATTAAAGGTGTGTGTTATCACTGCCTGGTCTGTAAGGCTGAGCAGTGGGGCTGTTTACTCTCTGATCTTCAGGCAAGTTTTATGTATTCAAATACAAGAGAAATGCCTCTACAAACACCAGTTGACATGCTAACATAGGTGAGGTGCATTTCATAATATCGTACCTCTAATTAAAGAACTAAAGGCAGTATATGACTGCTGAGAGAGGAAATCAGTTTTCTGCAGCTCCGACAGATCATCTCATCTCAACTGGTCAGCTCTAAACATATATACATACAAGCAACAGTAAATGGAAACACACATGTTCTATAATTGTTAAGTACATATATGTACTTATTATGTATATGTGTATACGTCAGTAATAACTGCATAAAGGTCATGAAGTTGAGAGGAGGATACAGGAGGACTTGGAGAAAGGAGAGTGAGAGATAAGTACAGTAGTCAAGCATAAAATTCTCAAAAATATTTTAATTTAAAAACAGCTCTCATCTATTAAAACTATAAATCCAGTACAAGGAACTCTGAGCTAGGTCTCAAGAGAATTTGTTAATCTAGTATTGTCATAGATAAAGACATTTACCATATCTGCTATTGACTAAGAATGCCCATTCCTTACTAAAGCAGTTCAGTCACTTGGATGTCAGTTAATGGAATATAATTTATCATTTCCTAGGGATAATAGTGTATGCTGTCAATTATTAGCAGCTTCTTCTGGCAGACTTTTGTATTTCCATAAGTAATGCCCAACGTATCTAAACCTTTTATGATCCAGTCACTAAAGTATACCCTGTGTAAAACTATAAGATGTCCAATTGCTTATACCGTCCACCTATATCGATTTTTAATCTGCTATTTGTGCTAGTGTTTTGTTTTAGAACAAAATGCCTCGGAAAATAAACTGACAGTCATTATGGTTACAAAATTTAGTTTTTTTTAAAAATTAAATAATAATAAAAAAAGGAAAAAGAAAAAAGGGGATGGGGGAGTGGGAGGGAAATGGGAGGAGGGGAGGACGTGGAAATTTTTAATTAAAAAATAATAAAAAAATGTAGTTTTCATTTTTTCTACGGTGACTGTTTAGTGATGTGAAGGACTAAGTGTGTAAACTATTTAGGTAATAATTTTCTTCCTAGCAAGAGTTAAACTATGTCTGCAAATGGTTAAGATTTTAATAAAGAAGCATGTGTTTGTCTCAAATAGATCAATACTTTAGAATGTAACTAATAACATCTAAATTTCCAAAATTACAAGCATATCTAATAATTCCAAAATGTACTAAATGAATACCTCTAAGATATTTGGGGAAACTGGTTATCAAAACTGTGATTACAATACTAATTAGGGAAATATCTATGCTGGATGTTGTGACAGACACATGTAATCCCAGCACGTGGGAAGCTGAAGCAGTTCTACTGATATATTTTATGCCAGGATGGCCTGCACAGTAATTTCCATGAGAGATCGGATTTTAGAGTTAGACCTTGTTTTAAAAAAATAACAAAAGTCCTTTTAGGATTATAAGAATTATCAACATTTAATTAATGAAAGGTTACGTAATAATAATGTACTGAATTTGTTTCTTGATTTTTATAATTGCACCGTGATTGTGCAATAAAACGATTTTTTTCTTTCTTTCTTTTTTTTTTTTTGAAAAAAGGGCTTGCCACAGAGCAAGGCTGGCCTTGAACAATATTTGCTCAAGTCCTTCTGCCTTATCCTCCCAAGAGATGGAATTACAAGGGTGCATTAGCACAGATGTGTAGAATAATTTTGATCTTGAGAAATACATATTATTAGTAAATTGTTGAGCAGACAAAGTTATGCAACGATGTATGATGGCTATTACTATCTCCAAAATGAAAGGGTATAGAAAAAATTAAAGAGCAAAATAAAACTTAAAAATTATTTGATGAGTTAAGGTAATGTGGGAATTCTTTATAATATTCATTCAACTGTAATGTAATTTTGAAGCTATTTCAAAGTGAAAAGTTAATTTCACATGTGCAGAAACTACATGTTCTCTCTATTTCTGCTTTGTTTCATGTACTATAGTTACAAAAACATAATTTAAGAATTTATAAACTTTATCCCAATCTATTTGTCTTTTCCATGCTTCCCTGAGCTAAATACTGCCTCAGTGTTTATTTATCTTACATATGCATCTGTATCGATAAAAATAAAAACTAGGTAGTTATATTTACATATTGGTATTTTCTAATATCTTATAACAACTACTTCATATCATTTCACAATATCACTCATACTTTCTAGATTTATACATGTTTATCCATTATATAAAAAAGTACAGGCACTAAATGATGAAGTTAACAGGGTAAGCAGGACGGTTCACTGGGTTAAAATTGTTTGCTGTATAAACCTAATGATTTGATTTTGATCCTCATATCACAAGGTGGATGGAAAGAACAGACTCCTAAAGTTATCCTCTAATTTCTGTAAGCGTATGCCCTCCTCCCCCCACAGAGAGAGGCTCACGAATATACACACATACACAATAAATAAAAATATGTTTAACTTAATAAAATTCCTTTCAGCATAGTACTTAATAGTAACTATAGAATGTATTCAGGTGATTAACTAAATATTACACACCAAAAATGAACAAAACCAAATTTGAGCATATCTTAAATGGAGTTCATTCTTTGGTCAACAATAAATGCCTCAGATAATCTTTCTTAATAAATGCACTAATTAATTAATCTTTGTATTAATTTACTAACTGCTTGAATTTTTATAAAGGAATTTAAGCTTGTCTGTTTCTAACAGCTTCAGTAATTTTTATAGACTTTTACCTGATATGACACTCTGCAAATTCATATAAGCAAGAGAGCCATGAATTAAGTGAATACTAACCTATTGTAGAAATGAGTTTCATCTGTGGGTCCACAGGGTCAGGCTGTATTCTGAATGGGTGGCTCTTCTTCACAGTATAATCTTGAAGCAGAAGAATCAAGCCCACTTTCAAACTTTTATACCATTCGAGACACATAGAATTCCACATAATCACTGACACCATGCCGGAACTGTCAGCGACTTCCAAGTAGTTCTAGGAAAAGAGCAAAAGCATATATACATTTGCGATTTTTATCTATATGGGTGACACATAAGGTATTATTGATGAAAATTTATACTGACAGAAAAATAACTCTTAAAATTTATTTTTTTATTCATAATGATTCAGTTGTTAACTCAGCTAAGATAGCTAAGTGAAAAAACGAGGCTGCTGCAAGATACTGGAAGTCAGCAACATAGTACTGTGTGAAAACAATCGTCAAAGGCACAGAGCAAATCTTAGTTTTGATGACTTCCCATAATGCTTAACCCAGTGCCAGGCACAGAGTAACCACACAATACAGTTACCAAGAGGATTAGATACGTCTCAAACTATGGAGATCTTCATAGCATTCTTCATCGTTTGCATGACTGAAGGACTTCCTATTTACTCATTTATCCTATAGCACTTCAGATAGACCATTGAGTAGACATAACCCCATCAATGCTCTGATGACATTAATTTACTTACACTGGTATCTTAGGGTTTTTATTATAAATTGCATGGGAATTATTTCTGCTACACTATTTGACAGAAGGCAATACTATTGCCGGCATCGTTATTGTTTAATCTGGGAATGGTTGAATAAATATTCTGCAGCATGAAATATGTTCTCCATTTTAAACTACGAAGATGGACAACATTGGTAACATCTAAAGAACAGCATCTCAAGTTTTCTCTAGCTTTTTAAATTTATTTTCAAATGATGTTTTATTCTAAGATCCTTTTTCTTACCAATGACAAATTTCAGCAATTCATTCTTTCAGTGATTAAATATGTATCAAGTCCGTATTATACTCCAGATATTATGTTAGTCACTGAGTAGAATAAAAAGCTAAGTCAGACACTACCTCTAATAATGGCTAAAATGGAGGACTTTGTATGATCCTAAACAGTTCAATAATTTACCAGTATTAAGAAATTGTATCCTCATATCAGCTCTGTAAGATATATATAATCAGCATCTCCATTTTGCTGATTAGAAAACTGAAGAGTTAAGAATACAACTAATGCCATAAAAATCTGATACAACTGAGACTAGAAACCAGTTTATCTGCACACAAAGTTATATGACATACATAGTTGCATGCAATCTAACACATATACATATGTGTGTAATACATGATGGATATATGTATATGGGATTTCAATATAAAATTTTATGTATGACATACACACAACCCAGAGAGGTGATAATATTCATCATTTTAGCAGTGGATATTTTCAGTGGTACAATCTTGTATAATATTATTCTCTTAATATATCTTTCTATATTTTCTCTTAATTCCCTTCAGCAAGTATACATGACTTTCACAAATCACAGTTAATAAAACACATGAACTAGCTCTTGATACATGAGCAACTATGGTGTAATACTAAGTTTTTTTTTTTAAAAGCAGAACATAAATATCAAGAAAATAGATATATGAGTATAGAAAACACAGAGCCAGGTTAGTAGAACAGTGTAGGAATGGATTGACAATTAGAAAGTTACTAGTAAGCCAGGCGTGGTGGCACACGCCTTTACTCCCAGTACTCAGGAGGCAGGGGCAGGCAGATCTCTGTGAGTTTGAGGCCAACCTGGTCTACAGAGTGAGTTTCAGAACAGCCAGGGCTATGCAGAGAAACCCTGTCTCAAAAAACAAAAAACCAAAACAAAAGAAACACAAGCAAAAAAAAAAAAGCTAAAAAAGAAAGAAAAAGAAAGTTCCTAGCAAATGATGAGCTGAAGAAAAGCAACTAATTGTACTGAGAAGAAAATGGAAGACAAGAAAAAGAAAACATCCTCAAGAAGAAATGGTCCAGGGATTTTTTCCCTTACTAAATTGTTTTCCTTTAAAATTTTTTGACTAGAGACTAGAGCCTGCTTAGATGCTAGTGCAGAAAGCACAGAGAAGAAAAGATTAGACAAAGAAAAAAGTGTGAAAGAGGCCAGCTGGATCGGGAATCTAAAGAACATTAACTACCTCTGTTTCATACTTAACAGATTTTTTTTTTCCCTTTGCAATACATTTTGAGGTGCTGGGAATGGAAATGAACCCATGGCCTTGCACATACTAGGCAAGTTCTATAACACTGAGCTATATGTCAAATTTCAAAGAACTTTTAATGGAAAAATCACAGAAAAAATATTTTGGCTTTCCACCCTCTGGTTCCTAAAAGAATTTCAATGAAGCGATTCCTAATGATATTCTGCTATACTCATAGATAGGTGCCTAGTTCCACTGACATCAGAGAGGCGTGATCTAGCAACTGATGCAAACAGATGCAGAGACCCACAGCTGAACAATAGAGAGAGCTGGGGGAACCATGCAGAAGGTGGGGGAGGAAGGACTGTAAGAGTCAGAGGGATCCAGGACACCATGAGAACATGGCCCACAGAATCAACTGACCAGGGCTCATGGGGGCTCATAGAGACAGAAGCAGTAACACACAGCCTTCATATGTCCGAGCTAGGTCCTCTGCAAACGTTATGGTTATGTAGCTGGATGTTCTTGTGGGACTCCTAACAGCGAAAGTGGAGTTGTCTGTGACTCTTTTGCCTGCTCCTGAGAGCCTTTTTCTCCTACTGGGTTGCCTCTTCCAGTCTTGATATGAGGGGTGGTGCCCAGTCTTATTGTAACTTGTTAGGCCGTGTTTGGTTGAGATTTCCAGAGGCCTGCTCTTTTTTCTTTTGGGGGGAAACAGAGGAGGCGTGAGTGTAGCGAGACTGAGATGAGTGGAGCAAGAGGACACTGTGCTCAGGATGTCACATATGAGAGAAGAAACGGAAAAAATACTATGAGGTAAAACTCTGAGTGCACTTAAAGTTATTAATTTCAACCTGTGAAATATTATTTAAAGGAATATATTTTGCCAATAGAGAAGTGTGCATGTTATAATCTAAAATTTAAATTAAGATATGTTATTTAAGCCTTGCGTGTACCTGATATGGCTCAATCATACTTCTATTAGGTTTCCCATAGTATCGCAGTTTTGATTTATGCAGAATCCTCACAAGCAAGGCAGGAAAATCCGTTCTGTTACTCCAGGTCATTTCAAGGTGTGAGAGAGAGATTATCTTGATGTCTAGAATATAAAAAGATAAAAATTGTATTTACTGCATCATCATAGTTTCAAAGATGCATTTTAAGGCTAAAAAAATGATAGTCAGACAATATCTAATGCAACTCCTTCTTGCCAGCTAGGTCTTTTTAAAAATTTAAATTGGAGCCTATCTATATAGTTCTTCCATATAAACTCCATACAAAGAACAACTAAAATGTTATAAGACTTATCATATAGAATTAGATAAGCACTTACATAAAATAAAACAGTATTTCTTCTAATTTGCATTCTACCACACCTAACAATTTCATTACATTATGCAAATCTTGGATCTAAATTCATCTCTCGATATTTTCCTTTAATCAATATACTTATTTATCTTACAAAGGTCAAAAGCTGTGGCACTGGAAATGCAGTGGCTCCATTGGCGAAAGGCTTGCCTTACAAGTGCAAGGACCCGAGCTCAATCACTAAAACCCCATGTGAAAATGCCAGGCATACATTTGTTATGTGGAGGAAAGTGGATTCCTGAGACCCATTCGCCAGCCAATCCGCCTAATTAGTGAGCTAAAAGCCAACAAGAAGCATTGTCTCAAAGGAGGTAGACAGTCTTCCTGGGGATGACAAAATGGAAGGCAAGGACTCCACACACGTGCCATGGTCCATGTAAGCCTATGAGCCTACATTTCCATACAAAATATTAAAAAAATAAAAATAAAATATGTGCATGCATGGACACACACACACGCATATGCACACACACATGCACGCGTGCAGAGGTGTTTTTTAAAGTACTCTCTATGATGAACTGGAACTCATGATCCTCCTGCCTCATCGATGCAGGTGCTCGATTACAGACATGTACCACCACTCTGAACAGATTAGAGAACTGTTGCTGACACACTCACACATTCTGTATTGTCCTCACTTCCCGCTTCATGCGTACACGGTCCGCCTTCTCCGAACATCCCATATATGGCTCTGGTTTCTCACCTGCTCTTCCGTTTCTGTAATACCTTCCTCCTAGATATGTAAGGGACATCCTCCCTCCTCTCTCCAAATTGTGCTCAAGGCACTTTCTTAGCGATGTCCCTAACTACTCTACTGAAACCCACCCACATGTATTGCCCACCCACACTGTTTTCCCAGACAACACTTAATATTTTCACATACACCATATAATTTTAACCCCTGGATCTGAATGAGGGCAAAGACTGTTTAAAAGTTGTTCATCATCTTTAAAGATTAACTTTTAAATCAGATTTTAGTCTTCTAGCGTTAAAGGGGGTATCATCTCCAATTGTCTCTGCATTTTTTTTTCACAGCCCACACAATTTTCAAACAGAAATTTGCATCACAACCTCTATGTATTATACATTTATAACATATTTGTCAGAATATACTCCATTTCCATTTATATTTGCTAGTATTTGCTAGTCATTACTTTATCAAGGAAGTAATACTTATAATTTAATTTTATTAAGTATAAATGTTATATTTTAAGTACTTCTATAACTCATGAAAGCCAAATTTGCAGTATATTAAGGCACTATAGATAGTTTCACTTTCAAATTCTCAAAATATTTTACTAGCACAGACTCAGAGGCCCTAATAGTTGATATGATGTAATTAAGCAATTTCCTTTCCAATACAGTCAAATTACAGGAAAGCTTTGAATTATCTACAGTGAATGTGGAGCAACCTTGAGTACGGCAAATGCATCTCCTTTATTTACAAACTAGAATGAATTCAAAAGATACGTGATTTTCAGTTAGCTATGTTTAGACATCACTTGGCCAGTTGACAGCCTTTCAAGATTGTCTTTTTAACTTAAAAACTTTATATAACATATTCTCAAATCTAAAACATAATTACAGGCAAATTATAGATAAGGAGCTATCCATGTAGATTCATTGCAACACATATGCTTCATTATCAAAAATGGATGAAAAGAACTTGGATATTCAATGCAATAAACAACAAAATGCTTATTCTCAAAATTTTAAGTCTCAAGACCTGTTAACATTCTTAAAAATTAATAAATATCTTTTCTTAGGGGGGGTTATTATATGTATCTATATAGCCCTGGATGGCCTGGAACTTGTTATGTAAACCAGGCTGATCTCAAGCTCAGAGATCCATTGCCTCTGCCTCATGAGGGCTTGGATGAAAGGCTTGAGTCACCATGCCTGGTCAATAAGATATTAAATATCTGGAAGAGCTTTCGTTTATGTGGGTTATGCTGATTAGCTGGTGTTTACACTATACACTTAGAAATGAAGCAATCACTAATCAATTTAATAATAAACCTAAATATATTACTACAAACAACATTCTTTTGAAAAATGACTATTTTAAAAAAAAATCAGGGCTGGGGACTATAGCTTAGTTTGCAGAGCACTGTCCTAGTATGCATGAAGCCATGAATTCAATCCTCAGTTCTGACAAAAAGAAAAAAAAATCAACATTTGGAATGACTAGGAATTTAGCTTAGTAGTACAGTACCTTCCTAGAATGCATAAGGCAGGTCCTAGATTCATCTCCCAACATCACACACACACAAAACAAAAAAATTCCAGTGAGAAAGTGATATATTTTACATTAGTATGAATCACTTTAGCTTAATAGAAAATAGCTTCTTGGGGCTGGAGAGATGTCTCATCAGTTAAAAGCACTGGTTGATTTTTCAGAGGATGGAGGTACAAGTCCCACCACCCGCAGGTACCACCCAATCGTTTGTAACTTCAATTCCAGAGGATCTCTCACCTTCCTCTGGCCTCTGTAGGCACCAGACAATCATGTTTTACACAGATACATATGTAATCAAAATGCTCATGCTCGTATTTGTATGTAATATATCTGACATCCGGACTCCACACTTATGCACGCATATGTTCAGAACACTTTCTCACCCATTCACATATGCCCTCACATATATGAATCTTAACAGTATCCTTCATAGGAAAGGATAACAAACATGAAACAAAACTGATATTAAAGACTGGAAAAAAGATATATTGGTTTAGTGATGTTAAAAGTGTGATTTCTGCTGGATATGGATACCAGGGAACTTGATAGAAACACAAACTCTGAAGGACTCTACTGCAAGCCCAGTGAATCAGAAACTTATGGTGAGACTTAGGAATCTGTATTCTAAAATACATTTGAGGGGCTGGAAAGATAGTTCACTCAGAAAATCGCTTGTCTTACAAACATGAGAACTTGTGTTTGTCGCCCAGAAATACCCCCATTTAAAAAAAAAATGCACGGTAATATATCTCAGCACGGTAGAGACAGAAGCAGAGCGATCCATCTGTTTTGGTGGGCAACTAGCAAGCAGCAAGCCAGTGAGAGACGTTTCAAAAATAAAATGGTGGGTGGCGTTTAAAGAATTGTCGCGAGGGAGCTCCTTCAGCCAATAGGTGCTCTCTCTCTCTCTCTCTCTCTCTCTCTCTCTCTCTCTCTCTCTCTCTCTCTCTCTCTCTCTCTCTCTCTCTCTCTCTCTCTCCCCCTCCCCCCCCCTCTCTCTCTCAGCAGCAACTGCCCTCCAGTCGCTCTCTAGCTTCCGGCTCTGCTTTGGCTCCTTCTCCGAGCAGCTCCGAGTGGCTCCAAGCGGCTCCAAGCGGTTGTTGTCTGCTTTTTTAAAGAGAGACCACGCCCCAATGGGCTGGTATCTCAGCAGCTATTGGCTGTAGGAGCTGAAGGAGCTCCTGCAACAAAGAATGAAGTCCCATGTTGTCCTCTGACCTCCAAACACACATGTGCACATATGCAACTGTATTAACACAAATGCACACACACATAAAAAAAGAACCTTTGAGGTGTGAGTAGATTACTCACATTCATAAGTATTACCCTAACTGCCACCAAAATGGTAACCACCATTACCAGAAAGAATAAAACTTGAGGCAACAAGAACTATGCAGGAAAATTATCATACTGGTAGGATAACATTCATCAATAAGATATTAACCAGTTAATATGGTTAATAATACAGTTAATAATGTGTGTGCACATATTGTGGGGATCCAGCTCTATCACTCTGCCTTACTCCTTTAACGACAAGGAGGGTCTCTCACTCCTGTCTCAAACACCAAGCTTTTTATTTAATGTGGATGCTGTGATCTCAAGTCTTTGCATGCATGAGACCTCACTGCTCTCCTGCTCCTACCTACTAAGCTAAATCTTCAGCCTCAAATTCTTTAGGACTAAAATTGTCATCATAGAAGCTTCATCCAGTGACTGATGGAAGCAGATACAGAGATCCATAGCTAAGCACTGGACCAAGCTTCCAAAGTCCAGTTCAAGAGACAGAGGAGCAATAATATGAGCAGAGAAGTCAAGACCTATGATTGGGATACCCACAGAAATCGAGCTAGTGGGAGCTCATGGACTCTGGGCTGACAGCTAGGGAATCTGTAAAGGTCCAAACTATGCCCTCTGAATGTGGGTGACAACAGAGTGGTTTGGTGTGGGACCACTGGCAATGGAATTGGGATTTATCCCCAGTGCATGAGCTGTTTTTTTTTTTTTTTTTTTTTTTTTTTTTTTTTTTTTTTTTTTTTTTTTTTTTTTTTTTTTTTTT